TTGGTCTTTCTGAGACAGGGTCTCCCTGTAGCCCCAGCTGGCCTGGAACTCACTGTGTAGACCAGGCTGGCCTTGAACTCGCAGAGATCCACCTGCCTCTGCCTCCCAAGTTCTGGGACTAAAAGTATTTGCCACCACACCCAATAAGTTTGTTTTCCTTTTAAATCTTCATGGGTGTGTGTTTGTGTTTATGTGTATGCTGTCATATACCATGATCCAGATTCCTAACTACAGAATTCCATGTTCTAGATGGAAGGACAAGTTTCTGTTGGCCTCACTTTCCACTGTTTTTGAGGCAGTGTCTTGTTTGTCAGTATATGCACCAGGCTAGTTGACCAGCTTTTGGGCATTGTCTCCCCTCCCATCCTGCCATAGGTGCTCTGAAATTATAGGTGTGCACCCTCACACGCAGCAGGATATGCGTCCTCAGGCTTAGGAGGCAAGTGTTACCCATTGAACCATCTCCCCAACCCTAGACCTGAAGTTTTATATATGCATTACTTCATTTTATTTACTTTGTCCATTGAAATATTTATTGATCACTTATTGTATAAATTCCTATGGAAGAGAGAGTTTATTTTTTGGATTATGGTTCCAGATTCTGTATTGATAGACTTCCCTGGTTTCATCTGTACATTTACTCTTTTCCAGTATAATGCACCGTGGTTAGTATGTTAAAGCTGGAGAGTTTACACAAGACTATTATGGTAGACCTTAGATTTATACCTGAAGAGTTGATTAAAGAGGGGTAATCATAGAGGCAGGGGACTATAGCAGGCCTTAAAGTGAATTATCTGCAAGACTGGGATAAGACAACTGTAGAGAGAAATAGATGGCTATGAGAAAAACTGAGGAATCTTGATTATGGCAGAAAAGAGAACAGTGTGGTTCTCTTTTCCCCTAGGCCTTGTGCGCCCATGGAGCACATGATATGTTTCCATGTCCCTTTGGGAAAATGGGGTAAGGTAGGAACTAGAGTTCATTTAAGTTACTAGACATTTTGGATGTATAGTTTTTAGTAACTTGGATGTTAGGCAATCATAGCCACTGGAGCTCTAGGCCAAAGCCTAGAGAGAGTTCTAGGTGAGAGACTTAGCCTTACAGCCTGGGCCTAAAGACATGATTTAAAAGCAAGTGAATGATTCTGTAAAGTGCAAACTGACATTAGTCTTTTTGAGCATTTCTGATTGCTCTTCCCTGATTGTTACCTTGCTCTGCATCAGGGCACCTTCCCTTTCTCTAATTTTAGACATGCTGGCACACAGGATCACAATGGTTGGGGATGTTTTGCTTTGTTTTCCAATCTAAGGAATCTGTATTTGTCCGGCTTTCCTGGTTTCATTTGTATTTCTGCTTTTTTTCCAGAAGGAGAACTTATGGATTGTGAAGGAAAATCAGAATCTAGTCCTGAGCGAGAAGCTGTGGATGATGAAACTAAGGGAGTAGAAGGGACAGATGGGGTAAAAAAGAGAAAAAGAAAACCATACAGACCAGGTAGAGTGCCTGAGACAGACATTTAAATATTACTACCACTTGGCTACTTTAATAATGATGCTGATTATGACTTGAATAATACTGAACAGCCAGAACTATGTACAACATTTTATTAACATCTGTCTGGAACTCAAGTGCAATAAGAACCAAGCTACTTCAATGTGCACTTTCACTGATGGATTCCTTACATTGAAAATGTGAATACTTGACTATAAAATCATTTTCATAGATGTTAACCATTTAGTAAATGTGCTACTGAGTTGGTTTTAATTTCTTTTGCATTTTAAAGCCCTTCATGTGTTTCCCATTGACAACTATTTCTGCAGCTCTTTTCAGGTTTCCTTTTCTAATGGTTTTGTGGGGTTGGGTTTGTTTTTTTTTTTTTTTTTTTTTTTTGTCTTTTTGAGACAGGGTCTCCCTGTAGCCCCAGCTGGCCTGGAACTCATTCTGTAGACCAGGTTGGCCTTGAACTCATGGAGATCCATCTGCCTCTGCCTCCCAAGTGCTGGGATTAATGGTGTGTGCCACCATCCCCAGCATAGTGTTTATTTAGGCACAAAGGTGAACAAGATAGGCTCTTATACCTGGTAGAATTTATAGTCTAGTCAGTGCACTATGAATGATTACATTCTTTCCTTTCCAGTCTACTTCATGGATAGTGAGGAATGTTACCTTGCTTTTTTACATTATTGGAAGAAAGTTATTGAATGGTTTTATTACAGAAGTTGTAGGATTTTAAAAAGCCCATTTATTGTCTATTTTAAATAAATGAAGTATTAAATTAGGTTAGTGTAATCTCTGTTCTGAATGCTTGGATTTTATTGGTAAGAGTGTTCCAAATTCCTTTTGATACATAGGTTAAATACTGAATTTGTATTCTCTAAGACCTTCAGTGGCACCTTCCTTATGAATGGGCCACATCTATCACTTAGACTGAGGATTAGTTTAATCCAAATCATATTATGAAATGGTTTCATTTCTTTTTCATTATGATGCTTACAGGCACATTTATGTTTTTAGATGTTACCTGTTCCTTCTACCAACTCATTCATTCATTCATTCATTCATTCATTTTCTATTTGATACAGGGTCTGTCTCCCTGTAGCTCCAGCTGACCTGGAACTCACTATGTAGACCAGGCTGGCCTTGAACTCAGTTACTGACGGACTGACCAGATAGTCCTGAGTTTACATGAGTATTCAAAGTGAGGTACTAAATGTTGAAATTAGATAAATAGGATTTTTTTTTTTTTTTTTTTTTTGTATTTTTGAGACAAGGTCTCTCAGTAGCCCCAGCTGGCCTTGAACTAGTATGTACACCAGTCTATATAGTCCTCAAACTGACAGAGATCCACCTGCCTCTGCCTCCTGAGTGCTGGGATTAAAGGCGTGTGCCACCACTCCGGCTTCCTTCTACCAACTTTAATGTCCTTTTGTTCTATCTTCTTTATCATAACCTGGATGACATCCCTTTATTTGAGAGGTGTCACAAAAGCATTTTACTGGGGGCTGGAGAGATGGTTCACTGACTGTTCTTGCAGAGAACCCAGGTTCGATTCCCAGCACCCACATGGCGTTACAAACCATCCTTAACTCCAGTTCCAGGGGAATCCGAAGCCCTCTTCTGACCTCCAGCATTACATGACATGAGTGCACTCACATACATGCAGGCAATACACTCACACACATAAAATAAAAATAATAAATCAATTTTTTTTTTTTTTTTTACAAATAGCATTTTACTAGTTAAGTATGTCTTGCGACAAAAGTTTATAGTGCTGACAGTCAGGCATTATTCTAACTATATCATTTTGTTTCTAGTTATGATGTCTGAATGGAGAGCTGGTACTTACCATTTTTATTTTACCAATGAAAGAACTGGGGTACTGAAAAGTTAAATAGTCCAAGTTTACTTAGTAGACAGAATTATGTATTTGTTAAGGTTCAGATAGCCCCACCCCCTCACCAACAGGGTCTAATGGACTTCTCAAGTTCCTGAGAAAAGGGAACTGAGTTGATAAGCACCTTGGTCTTTGAAGTCAAGAGAAGCAGACTTTTCTCCACTGTTTGGCCAACACAGCAGGCTTCCCCTTTGATCTCTAAAGAAAATAGGTTTAACAGTCCCGCTCTCCCACTCCCTACCCCCAGCCCAACTTTAAAAAAAATACATCTTCCTGACATCTGCAGGAAGCAGAAGCCTCCTCCTTTAAAAGACCCCAGCTCACGACCCAGGCAGATATTTATCCTGCCCAGAAGGGAATCTGTCCCATGTGTTCCTTTGCTAATAAACTCTACTTTTTCCTGATCAACCCTATTCATCATATGGCTACTTTTTGTCTATCAGTATTGTGGCTCCAGATTCTATGTTGCTAACTAGAGAGTTCCATGTGTCTCATGTCTTACTGGCCTTCATGACATGGGAAAGCTAGACACCCCCCGCCCCTCAAGTCGTACTGATCTCCATCTGTGTCTCCTCATTTATACTTGCTGCTTGGTGTGTGTTCTCAGGAAGGGGAAACAGATCTATCAGTTCCTCAACAAACAGACAAGCTCAGTCTACTGTTTGGTATTTACTTTGACCTTGTCTAGAAGAGAAAATGCAAGCAATTCTTTCCATATTCCAAGTTGTCATTCTTGTGTGATAAGTAATAGCAATGTCTTTGATATTTTAAAAACATTTATAACCCTTTTTACTTTACACAAAAATGAGATCATTGGATCTTGAGAGAGAGAGCTCTGCCAGTAACTGTGAAGACCATTTATATGGGTCCTCAGTACCCATGTAAATGTTAGAATGGCATAGTGGCCTGCCTATAATACCAGCAGACACAGGGGATCCCTAGAGAATTCTAGCTGAATTGGAGGCTCTGGATTCAAGGGAGAGTCTCTGCCTCAGTATATAAGGTGGAGAGAGATTGAGAATGACATCCACTGTGAACTGATCTCCACATGCACATGCATCCATATATATTAGGCATGCATCCCACCCACACAAAATGAGATTATCTTCACCTTGAATTTTGGAAAAATCTAACTATTAAGGATAAAACAACTTCATCTTTGATGACTGTAGAATTTTAGGGAGAGATTGATTATTTATTGGCTTACTTAGTTTCTTTTTTGGATAGGTATTGGTGGGTTTATGGTGCGGCAAAGAAGTCGAACGGGACAAGGAAAAGCCAAAAGATCTGTGATCAGAAAAGACTCTTCAGGCTCTATTTCTGAACAGTTACCCAACAGAGAAGATGGTACAGTACTGGTTTGCTTTGATTTAACTTCTTGGGACCGATAAATCTGGGAAGAAGGGTCATTAAAGGGATACTGCTAGCTATGTCTTTGGAAGGATTTGAAAGCCTGTAGAGTTGCATGGTTTAAATCCGATAGACTATTTGAGGTGGGTTTTTTTTTGGTTTTTTTGTTTTTTGTTTTTTGAGCTAGGGTCTCTCTCATCCAATAGTTCATGCCAATTCCCTACATAGCCCATGGCATCCTCAAATTCATGATTCTCCTACCTCAGCTGCCCCGGGTGCTAGATTAGAGGCATACATCACCATGTTTTCTTTCTCCCTTCCTCCCCTTCCCCTTTTTTTCCTTCTCCCCCTTTCGCTTTGCTTCAGTAGAACTCAGGACCTCCCAGTGCTAAGGTCACACTTTATACTGACCTACATTCCTTGCCTCACCTTTGAAATGTTAAGTTCCTTTTCCCTCGGTAATAAATATTTCATATGTTACATATGAACAGAGTAGGGATCACTCAGCCGTAGAACATAATTTCTAGCTTTTTTAACACAGGCCTTTCTTTGCTTGCCTTTAAAGTTACAAGCTATTGAATTGAAAGTGACAGGGTAAGTCAGTACACTTTAACAAAACTATAAATAACATCCAGTAAAACCTTCTGACATCCTCAGTGCTTCAAAGAAAATGAAATCATTGCTTAAGCCTTACCCTTCTATGAATTAATAATATTTTATTGTGGGTTTTTGTTTTTTAAAGAAGTGGTCCTGCCGGGCGTGGTGGTACACGCCTTTAATCCCAGGGAGGCAGAGGCAGGCAGATCTCTGTGAGTTCAAGGCCAGCCTGGTCTACATAGTGAGTTCCAGGACCACTGGGGCTACAGGGAGACCGTGTCTCAGAAAGACCAAAAAAAAAAAAAAAAAAAAAAAAAAAAGAAGAAATGGTCCTGATGGAGACCTTGTAATCGCTGTTGTTGGCAATCTGTTATGTTTATGAATTTTGAATTATATCTCAAGGTTAAATATGAAGAACATTGGGATGTTCTCAGCACACCCTCTTTAACAGTCCTTTTTGTTGTTAAACAACCTTAAGTGAATAAATCAGAAATTGCTTTCTTTTTTTTGGAAGCACTATAATGGTTTTTAAGAAGTTTCTATTGTGACCCCCTAACAAGAATCCCTGATTTAAAGAATTTGATGTGTATAATAAAACTTTTTTTCTCTCTTTTCAGTCATCCAGATAATTATATACCTACCTTTTAGTTTTTATTGTAACTTGTGTCTCACTCAGCTATTGAATTTTATTTTTTTTAATTTTTTATTGAGCTTTTAAAATATCATACATTTCCCACTCAAATCAAGACCCCCTTCCCCATGCCTCCCTCTGTGCCCCCCACTGAACCTTATGCACTCTGCCATACATGCTGAGTCCTACTCATTCAGTTGTGCCCAAATGTCCTTCAGTGTAAAAACATCCCCTGGAGTCTAGTCGGCCTGTCCAATGATCATACGTAAGTCTCACTGCCCCTCACCCAACAGCAGTCAGTCTCAAATAGTTCTCATTCCACTGCCGGCCTGCCACCTATTTCTCACCTCCCTTTTGGGCCCTTGTTTAATTGAGCTGACATGGGTCCTGTCACCCACCCACCGCTGCCACAGGCTCACTTGAGCAAGCCTCCAGTGGCCTGGAAGCCTCTACCTCCCAGTGTTCATGAACCAGCCCTGGCTCTTACAGTCTTGCTGCCTCCTCTTCCCCAATGGTCCCTGAGCTGTGGGTGGGTGAGGTTCCATATATATAGGAGTTCCATCTTACATGCTATAGTCTCTTACTCTCCAAAACTTTGACAGTTGTGGCCTTCTGAGATATTGAGTCTTAAATTTCAAATATTGTTTCCTACCTTTCCGTGTTACCCTTTTGATGTTTAATCACTTCATAGTTTCATATTAAATCTTACTGTGTACTTTCAGTATCTTTTATTTCTTCATGTAATTGATCTAGAGCATAAAATTTCTGAAGCTGTTTCATATCTGTGTCTGCTGCTTCCATCCACCACTGCCTCATTAGATTGCATGCACTATGTGAAAGGCACAAACGTTTGTTCATTCGTTCTTTTGTTCGTTCATTCATTCATTCATTCGTTCGTTCATTTCCTTGTTGCAAAGTCCTATTCTTTGGAATAGTCTTTGTTTAAAAAATTTGGTTTTGTTTATTTATTTATTTATTTTTGGTGGTGTGTGTGTGTGTGTTGCGTTTGTCTTGAGCTGGCATGAAACTCCAAGACATCCGCCTGCCTCTGCTGGGATTAAAGTTGTGTGGCATCATGCCTAGCCTAATGATGTAGCCTAGGCTGGCCTCAAACTTACGATCCTCCTCTTCTCAGGATTTCCTCCATGTGTCACCACAAACAACAAAAACTTTAAGAACTGAGTTGTTTCTCCAGGACTCTGAATGCTACTTGCCTAGGACTCTCTTAAGCAAAAGTGGGCAGCTTAATATATTTTTGTCCACCTGTATCATACCAATTCAGGTTTACTGTATTTTATTTTACTACTCAAATCAGATCCATACCCAGCTTGTGAATTCTCAGGGAAGGCTATCATGTTGTTGCTTTTCTGACACACACCAAAGTGTGTGACACGGTGATAAGTAATAAGTACTGGTTTTATTTCTTATTTAACAAACTCAGTTACAAAAATATTGTGTTCTCTAAATTTTCCTTAGGAGTTTGTGAGTAGCCAGTTCATATTTTGTTAATATGCATTAATGTTTTTGGTGTTTTCATCTTTTAAAAATGTTATTTTTATTTTATGTGTATGAGTATATTACCTGAATGTATCTAAGTGTACTTGTGTTGTGCAGTGCCCATGCCCATAGAGGTCAGAAGAGGGCGTTGGATCCCCCGGAACTGGAGTTACTGACAGTTAGCCACCATGTGGGTGCTGGGAATCCAAAATCCAGGTCTTCTGCAAAGAGCAGCCAGTGCTCTTAACTGCTGCGCCATCTCTCCAGCCCCAGCATTTTTATATCATCTTTTAATTGTTTTGTTTAGAAAATTAAATTTCTGCTTTTTATGGAAATGCTAGTTATTCAGAAAGGATAGGAATTGTACTCCTGAAGAGATAAATGAATTTTTTGAGATGCTTAACACTTACTAAAAAACTTGCTTTGAGCTCTTCCTGTGTTGCAAACTTGTTTGTTTATACATATGTCTATTGTTGGTATCTACTGACTGTGCTATGTGGTGAGATGTTAGTGCATGTGGTCATGAGCATGACTCTTCTTTCAGGTTGGAATGAGCAGTTACCAGATGCTCTAGTCCATGAATCTGAAAAAATGAAGAAGAGATACCGAAAAAGGAAAAATAAGCTTGAAGAAACGTTCCCTGCTTACTTACAAGTAATATTTTGCTTTATATTTTATTGTACAGTTAGGTAATTGAGCTTTTATAAATGGGTTTGTTTGTTTTTAGCCAGCTGTGATGGTACACACCTTTAATCCCAGCAGAAACAGGCAGAGCTTTGTGATTTCAAGGCCAGCCTGGTCTACATAGTGAGTTCCAGGCCAGCTGGGGCTACAGGGAGACGCTGTCTCAAGAAAGACAAAAAAAAAAAAAAAAAAAAAAAAAAAAAAAAAAAAAAAACAACTGGGGGTTGGGGCCGTTGTTACTAAATTTCACCTTTTTTACCCTCTTCATTGCCTGTCATAAATTACATTTAATTTAGTAGGCTCCATAAAAAAATGAGTATTTGCCTTTTTTTGGTTTGGTACGTTTTTTTTTAAAAAAAAAAATTACGTGTATGAGTGTATTGCCTGCATGTATGTGAGTGCACCCGTGTCGTGCAATGGAGGTCAGAAGAGGGCGTCGGATTCCTCTGGAACTGGAGTTAAGGACAGTTAGTAACCACTCTGTTGGTGCTGGGAATCGAACCCAGGTCCTCTGCAAGAGCAGTCAGTGCTCACTTCAGCACTTGCACTGTGTTTTAAAGCAGTAATCTTATTAGTTAGGAAATTGATTTATTTTGTCCCTGTTGCTTTATCTGCCCCTTTGTTCTTGTTCTCCTGCTCTGTTTCCCTTGCCTCCTCTTGAACATTTCTGGATGTACTGAGAAGTTGACCTCCTCCTCCTCCTATGGATCTTTCTGGAAACTATAATCCATATTTAGGAAGCTTCCTTTAGTTGTTACCCAAGTATGGAAACTAGCTGTTTATACTTTGTAAAAGAGCGTTTGAATGCATATTCTTTCTAATTCCTTCCTTCCCTCCCTCTTTTCCCACCTCCCTTCCTGGTACTGATGGTAGTTGTTGTGTGAGGTTTATTCTTGGTTGGTTTTTTGACACAATCTTACGTAGCCTGATTGGCCTCAAACTTGATGTGTAGACAAGGATGATCTTGAACTTCTGATTCTCTTGCCTCTACCTCTGGAATGTTAGGATTATTGTTATAAGCCACCTTATCTGGTTTTAAAAGAGCCCTTAAAAGTACTGGATCTTGGTCTGATGAGATGACTCAGTGGGTAAAGGTGCTTGCTACCAAGCTTGATGTGATTCCCTAAACTCACATGTGGAAGAAATTAACTGACGGTCACATATGTGCTCGTGACATGCACATGTATGTACACACACACACACACACACACACACACAAGCTCGTGAGCATAATAAATGTTTTTTAAAAATTGGATCTGATTTTGCATTTCCTGCTGTGATCTGAGCCTGCTGGGCCAGGACATCTTTGTAATGGTGCTATCTCTTATACATTCTGTAAGTTTCCCCACTGACCTGAGAAACACATAATGCCAGGAATTAACTGGAAATTCATTAACATTCTTTCCAAGCTTTTTGTTGCTGTTGTTAATCACAGCAGTGTGGAGGTAAACTCTAAAATACGTGCTCTAACCAATGGGAATACCTCCTATCAGCTAGTGATGCTATGTGACTAGGAGTGCCTGCCCTTTGTCCATTCTTGGAGTTCCTGACAATGTCAGGTTGGAAACCACACACAACTTCTCTTTTATGTTAACTGTAAGGAATGGAAACTCATTAGAACATAACAATTATTAGAACATAACAAATTTTGATAAATATCAAGACAGTAATGGTAAATTATTAGAGAATATTATTAATGTTAATTTAAGATTGTTTAGATTTATACTTAGGGATTATACATCATAGATTTCTAAATGTCAAAGATGTTTTACACTTTTCAGTATTCTTTATTATTATGGTTGCTTGGATTTCAAAATTAAATTTTCAGCCAGGTGTGGTGGCGCACGCCTTTAGTCTGAGCACTTGGGAGGCAGAGGCTGGTGGATTTCTGTGAGTTCAAGGCCAGCCTGGTCTACAAAGTGAGTTTCAGGCCAGCTGGGGCTACAGGGAGACTGTCTCAAAAAGACCAAAAAAATTTTTCAATTTTCATAGTGAAATGACTTACTTAAAAATAGAAAAATTTTGAATAAGAAAAATAATCTGTACCTTTCTTGATGTGGTTTTTGAGAGAAAGATATTGTGTAGTGTAGGCAGTAGGTATAAATGTGCCATGACGTGTGTAGAGGTTGGCCAACAGCCTTGGATGTTGGTCCTCGTATTCCCGTTTGTCTGTAACAAGGCCTCTTCATTATTTGCCGCTTGGCTACATGCCCCAGGCTAGCCCCCCTGAGCTTCTGGGCATTTTCCTGTCTCTACCGCCCATTTTGCACTGGGGTTGCCAACATGTGCTGCTGTTCCAGCAGGGTTCACACTGGTGCAGGAAGCACTCTTGCCACTGTGCTACCTCCTCAGCATCTAGTCCCTTCTCTAAAGTTATCCATTGCTAGCATTTTTTGACATTTTTGTATGATTTATTTTTGTGTTCTTAGAATTGTCTTCATTTGTGTATTTTGTTACACTTGTCTTTCAGCATCTTTCTTTTGGTCATGTATTTCAGAGCCTTTCTTTGATGACATTGTGTGTTAGCTACTTTTCTGTGGCTGTAAAACACTGTGACCCAGGGTACCTCCCCAGGCTCTTGGGGACTGGAGAGATGGCTCAGTGATTAAGAGCACTGGCTACTCTTGCAGAGGATCCAGATTTAGTTCCCCGCACCCACATGGCAGCTAACAACCATTTATAATTCCGTTTCGTAGGGGATCCAACATCCTCCTCTTTCCTCTGCAGGCACTGAGTGGTATAGGTGCACATACATCAGTCAGACAAAACACGCTTACACATAAAATAAATTTTAAAAGTTTTTTTTTTTTTTTTTTTTAGTTTAAAACAGTCTGCATTTTAGGGTGGGGATATGGCTCAGTGATAGATATCTTGCCTAACGTGTTTGAATCCAGTAGTGCTGCTACCAACAACATCCCCACCTCAGCACTTTGTAGTGGCAATACCTGTGCTTTTATTTAGCTATGCACCTGAGGAACACTGAGGCTGGTTTTACTTACAGTGTCATGAAAGCTATGTGGGGCCTTCTGTTTGTGCTTATGCAGCAGGGGTGTGATGGCTGTCACCAGCTTCCATGAACATTCTAGAGTCATCTAGCCAGAGAGGCCATGGAGTAGAAAATACAGTGATAGGAGATTGTTGGGCTAAAGCAAAGCATCTGAGGCCACCTTTTGTCTTCCATGTTGATCCTTGGGATAATCAGAGAACTCACCTGAAACGTACCAGTCAAAGAAAATTGCTCAGATGGGGAAGTGCTCATCTGAGTGGATGACTCGAAAGCCTTTTGTAGCTTGCAGACTTTTCCTACATGGTCTGTTTCAAATGACTAAGTCTTTCAGTTGTATAGTGTAAGACTTCTGATGTGGTTATATGAATCATCGTGAATCAACACGAGAGTACCACATCCTGAAGTGTGTAAATATTAAAGCCATAGATCAAAATCTTATCTGCTTCTGCAAGTGATCTATAAATATTATTAATATTTATGAAGCTTCACTTTTGCTTATACTATGGTTCAAAATCCATTAGTATAGAAACCTATCAATTTAAAATTTAATTGTGGATTAGTCTCTAGCAATTGAATTATTCTTTAGTTTCTAGAAACATTTGACACAGTTGTTTTATTTGTGTAATTTTATTCAATTTTGAAAAGCTCTTAAAATCTTAATTTTGTTAGTTTAAAACTTACAGAATCAGTCAAAAATTCAGTTTGTGTATTACTAAAGTTTTTCTTATCAAAAGTGATGACAGGATACTGTTGAATTTTTCGAATTTTAGGACTAATACTTTTTTTCTGTGTCCGTCGTTGTCTAGGAAGCATTTTTTGGAAAAGATCTTCTGGATACCAGCAGACAAAGCAAGCTGAGTTTAGACAACCTGTCAGAAGATAGGGCTCAGATTTCAGATACAGCAGGGTTCTTGACTCCTTCAGATCCACTGCTGAGTTCATCCTCTGCTTCAACAAAACCTGGAACTCGGGGTATGTACAATAATCCACAGGTGTTTTATTTACACCAGTTACTCTAAAACATTCCTTAGAAATGCTTTTGTTTGACCTTGTGTGCACTGTTAAAAAATCAACTTTATTGAATTTATTACATTCAGTAAGTACAGCTTTTTTAAAAAAGTAGACAGTTTTTATAAGATTTGGCAAATTAACTTACCAGTCTAATTATCACCAAAATCAGGGGTGTGAAGGAAAACTTGGAATTTACACTCTTTTGAGGACAATGTTGGCCACAGTTGATAAGCTAAAAATACAATTTACAAAGTAATATATTTTGTTATTCATATAACCCAAAGAAATTCCAAAGGGTTAGAGACCAAAACCAATGGGAATGTGCTGGTAGATTATTAATATAGTGAGATATATTACCCTACTACTTAGGATTTTTCACCACTGATACTTTTTGTCAGTTAGCTTTTTGTTGTGAAAACAGGGGTACATAGTGCCTTGCAGTCTCTGATTGCATGAGGTCAGGACAATCAAATGTGTCCAGTTAACCCTAATACTCATTGGTGAACAAAATCACCCCTGGCCGAGAATCACTGTATAGGTTCAGGGAATGTAGGAACTATAACCAGTTAAAAAGGCAGAGGTGGGAGGTGGTTCAGTGGGTAAATTGCTTGCCATACCAAGTATGAGGACCTGAGTTTGATTCCCAGAATCCTTAAAAAAGGGCCAGGTATGTGATGCACACTGGAATCCCAGTGCTGGGGTGGTGGAGGCAAGGAGGATCCCTGTGCTTGCCAGCCAGCCAGCCTAGCTTAATTGACTCCAGGCCAATGAGAGACCCTGTGTTTAAAGGAGGTTGATGTTCCTCGGGATGACACCTGAGATTGTCCTTCAGCCTGTACACACACACAGGCATGTGCACACAGAGGCACGCACATGAATTTTTTACAAAGAGCTATTAAAGGGTCTGAGGATGTAACTCAATTGGTAGAGTCTCTGGCTCTCATGCACTCAGGCACTGGGTTTGATCGCTAATACCTCATGACTAGATGAGGTGGCCCGTGGCTACAATCTTAGTATTTGTGTGGTGGAGCCAAGAGGATCAGAAATTCAAGGCAGTTCTCTATTATATAGTGATTTCAGAACCAGTCATGGGTATGGGAGATCCTGTCTCATTTAAATAAGTCAGATAAAAGTAAGAAATCATGATGTGTTTCTAAAGTATATCATCAAGGCTCTTAGAGCTTAGTTGAATGTACAAGAGCTCTGATGACACCTTTTCCCCTCCAGTTCTAGGCTTTTATAGTACTGTCTGTAGTAAATGTTTTTCTGACAAGCTTTATTTTGCCATTGATTACATTTGTTAGTCATTTAGTTTTACGAATTCATTTTGAAGCAAAACTCAAGGTAGATCTCCATTGAATAAAAGAACTTTTGATATTAGGTAAAGTTTTGCTCACTCAGCTTTGCCCTAAATTGAAATATAGTTGATTTTCTTATACCTTGGGTTTTGCATCTGCAAATATGAATGACTGATTTAAGGGACTTAAGTATTCACAGATTTTGGTAATGTTCAGGGTTGCCGTAAATGCTGAGGAACAATCTCTGCAGATTTTTATATTTTGTTTGCTTTCTTGAAATAATTCCAGGCAGTCATACATCATCCTGGGTTACATACACACTGGCAGTGTACCTCCCCATTGACAGAGAAAGATGGAATGTCTCCATGTTGCTGCTTAGTCTTAGCAGATTACAAAAGTAATTTGATAGTTTTAAATCTTTCAGTTCTTATCAATATATTTTTAGCAGTGTATAATGAAAGCCTTGGGGCTATGTCAAATATGTTACAAATACGTCATTTAAAGAGTCAAATAGAAGTTACTTGCAATTGAGTTTTGTGAGTTTAAGGTCTGAATTGGATGTGTGACATTGTGATAGTCAATGTATTGATGCAGATGATTTCTCCCCTTTTTTCCTGCTAAAGAAGAAATGACTTCACAATAAGGAAAGAAATGAAAGGACTAGAGAGCACTCATATCAAAACATGATGCTTTTCAGTTCCCTTCCTTTGTATGGAAAATTAATCAGTGACAGTTGCCTTTTTTTTTTTTTTTTTTTTCCGGTCTTTTTTAGACAGGGTTTCCCAGTAGCCCCAGCTGCCCTGGAACTCACTATGTACACCAGGCTGGCCTTAAACACACAGAGATCTGCCTGCCTCTGCCTCCCGAGTGCTGGGATTAAAGGCATGCACCACCACACCCGGCTGACAGTTGCCTTTTTAAAGCAAGATAGCCTATTAGAACACTCTAACAATTTTTTCGTAAGATATAAAATCTTTATTCTTGCACTCTAGTGTGTGTGTGTAGGGGGGGGAGTTACAGAGAGAGTGTCTGTAGAGTCAGGTTTATGAAAGAAGTGCTTTTAAGAACCTAGTCTTTTAAAATTGTTTTCTATCATTTATGTAGTAGTATTTCATTAATGTAAAATAAAAGCGCTGGGTTGACAGCTTAATCAGTGAGTACCTTCTCTTCAAGCTAGAGGAGCTAAGTTCAGTCCTTGGAATCCATGTAAAAAAAGGCCAGGCATGGTGACACATGCTTGCTTGTGATCCCAGTGCTGATGAGACAGACAGGAAGAGTCCTTGAGACTTGCTAGCCAGCCCGTCTCGCCTCCTGCAGTCTAGAGAGCCACCTTGTTTCCTAGAACAAGGCAAATGGCACCCAAGAAATGACATCCAAGGATGACACTGAGTCTGCACCCGCACACAAACGCTCATACATACACACACTTAAGAAACAAAAACCAGACAAAACCCCACAAGATGGCCCTCAAAGAATGATATTCAGTTGTTCTTGTCGCTTTACTATCATGTTGTCCAGAGCATCTCACACAGATATTTGATGTAAATTATTAGGTTTATGCTCACTCGCTCTCTCTCTCGCTCTCTCTCTCTCTGCAGTTAAAATACACTTGAATGAATAAAAAATTCAGATGACTAAAGTAGTTTATTGATGTTAGCCTAAGAGTTCCAACATTTCCTTCTTCGTTAGGTAAAGCCACCTTAGAATCCTCTTTTCACTTTCTTCATTATTCATCTTACAGATCTGTAGATTTTTCTTTGTTTTCAAAATAAAGCCCCAAATCAAAGCCAGTCATTTCCTACTTCAGCTGTCCTTGTCATTCAATGGTAATGTGGTTCACCTCTCTCTTACACTGCAGAAGGTCACCAGGCTTCCATTCTCCCCTACATCCTTCTCTGCCAGTCTGTTGTGCATGTCTCCAGTACCACCCCGTGGTCTTCATAGTAAACCCTCATCTTTACCATGTTCTGCAGAACTGTACCTGGTCTTGCAGCCACTACTTCTTCTGCTCGTCCTGCCCCTTCTCTGTGATTTCTTTGACCACTCTCTGGCTTTCTGCATCTCTAGTGCTGGGATTCATGGCACACACCACCACACCTGGCTGATGTAGATGGACCTGCTTCTCCAATTAAAAGACACAAATTAGAGGCTGGAGAGATGACTCAGTATTTGCTGCTCTTGGAGAAGCCTGCTGTTCAGTTCCCAGCTCATGATCATCTGTAACTTCAGTTCCAGGAGGACCTGTGGCCTCTTCTGGCATTTGCGTGCACTGCATGCACATGATGCACATATATGCATGCAGGAAAACACTCACACACATAAAATGAAAATAATAATTTTTTTTTTTTTGGTCTTTTTGATACAGGGTCTCCCTGTAGCCCCAGCTGTCCTGAAACTCACTATGTAGACCAGGCTGGCCTTGAACTCAGAGAGATCAGCCTGCCTCTGCCTCCCAAGTGCTGGGATTAAAGGTGTGCGCCACCATGCCCTTTTGAAAATAAATTTTTAAATAGACAAAAGATACAAATTATTGGATTAGATATTCAGACAAGATCTAAGTGTTTGTTATGTACACGAAACATACCACCTTGACAAAGAATAATAGACCAGAACTGACAAGCTCCAAATCAGTACACCAAGCAAGTAGAAACTGAAACCAAGCAAAGGTTACAAGCAGTACTGACATCCGAAAGTAAGTGCAGATCAGAATTAGAAGAGATTGAGGTCACTACATACTAATGAAGTAAATAGCCTCTCAACAGGATGTAACAGTTCTAATTACATGTGTTCTGAATGTTGAGTATGTCCTTATTTCAATAATAGTGGGTCATGTTTGTGCCTACTTTCATTAATAGTTAGATTCCTTAGACAGAATAATCAGCAATGAAACCTCAGAGTCAGGCTACTCATTAGATCATTTAAGACATCTACAGCCCAGCATGGTGGCATATACCTTTAATCCCAGCACTTGGTAGGCAGAGGCAGGCTGATGAGATCAAGGCCAGCCTTGTCTACATAGTGAGTTCAGGCCAGCTAGGATTAAGAGAGACCCTGTCTTCCCCTTACCCCCAAATAAAATAAGATTTATCTACAGAATATTTCCACCAATAGCTGTGGAGCACACATTTTTAGCTCAGCAGTCTATAGCACTTTCTCTAAATTAGATCATGTTTTAGACCATCAAAGAAGCTCAGCCAAGGAAGTACAGCAGGAACTATGGAGGATGCTGCTTACTACCTGGCTTGCTCACAGCCAGGAGCACTTCCCAGGAAATGGTGCCACTCATAGTAGGCTGGGCCCTCCTGCATCTATAAACAGAAAGAAAATCCCCTACAGACCTGCTCACAGGGCAATCTAATCTGGGAACTCCCTCAAGACTTCTTTCTCAGGGGACTTTAGGCTGTATCAAGATGACAGTTACAATCAATTGGACATGGGGAGGGGGAGCTGGCTCAGTAGTTAACAACACTCGCTGTTCTCGCAGAAGACCTGAGTTTGAGTCCCAAGACCCACATGGCGGCTAACAACCGTCTGTACGGTAACTCCAGTTACAGGGGATCTTGACACCCTCTTCTTACCCAGTTGGCATTGGCATGACACATGCAAACATAACACTCATAAAATAAAGTTTAAAAAAGTTAATTGGACACGTATAGCAAGGAA